TATCCCGGAGTTCTAAACAAGGCAAACGTCTCTCCTGAACAAAAATGCAACAGAGACTTCACTGCTCACTTCATTGTGCTTGCTCTCCCATCAGTTGGTGACTTTCTTAAGAGAGGAATTTTGTTAAAATTGTTAATCTTCTATGCATAACATTGTGCTGATAAATTTCTGTTAATGGTACAGCCTAATGGATACGCAGATATGTTTATGTATTTTTACATAACGAGGAAAGTATTGTTCAAGTTTTATTACTTGATGAGAATATCCAATTTAAAATATAATTATGTTCATTATAAAAATGTGATTTTACGTATAATATGTATTGTGTTTGGTCAGAATTAAAAATGAAAACTCTTACAGAAGGGAGTAAATTTACCTTTTTTTTTTTTTTTAAATTTTTTTTTTTCAACGTTTATTTATTTTTGGGACAGAGAGAGACAGAGCATGAACGGGGGAGGGGCAGAGAGAGAGGGAGACACAGAATCAGAAACAGGCTCCAGGCTCCGAGCCATCAGCCCGGAGCCTGACGCGGGGCTCGAACTCACGGACCGCGAGATCGTGACCTGGCTGAAGTCGGACGCTTAAGCGACTGCGCCACCCAGGCGCCCCAACCTTTTTATGTTTATACGTAGCCTAACAAAGAAAGAGACTTTTTTCCTATTTCTTAACTAATTTTAAACTTAGGCTAACTGGTCCTAAGTAGCAAAACTGGTATCCAGCTATAGAATGGAAGCTGAGGAGCTTAATGTATGCTTAAAAGATATTTTGTAGACTGCAAGTTGACTTTCATGGGTACAATGGTTCATTTTGGATTTTGGAAATTATCCTGGATTATATGGGAACTTGAGAAATTATTTCTCTGAAAGCTCAGGGCCTTTTCTGATCTATTTTAAAAACAAACTTTCCAACACATTACATAACGCTATTGCCTTAAATACTGGATCACTATAAGTCCATAAACTTAAATTTCTGTTATTATAGCTATTTCAAGAATCAAATGGGATAATGAATTCCTTTAAAACAGCTACATGATAGAATCTCCCTGAAAATAGCAGCTATTATTGTTGTTAGTATATTTAAATTTAACACATAAAGATGTCAGTTGACATACTGTCCGTTTCTATAGCTTAAATGAAGACTGAGCCCACTGATTATTTTTGTAAATACAGTTTTGTTTTGTTTTGTTTTGTTTTGTTTTGTTTTGTTTTCCTCAGAACACTACCATTCTGAGCCCACACTCACTTTTGTACAATAATGGTAGAGTTGAGTAGTTGAGACAATGTGTGGCCTGAAAAGCCTACAGTGGTTACTGTCTGGCTCTTCAAGAAAAAGTTTGCTGACCCGGACTTAAAGCTCCAACTGTCCTTGTAAACTTTTAAAAAAGAGAGTATTTTATTAAAAAAGAAAGTAATTTTGATTAAAATAACTTATGAACACTCGTTTGAAACAAATGACTTTGATTCATGTAGAGGTTTCTGATATAAGAAGAGATACTACAATTTGAATAAAGGCCAAACATGCTTTGGGGAAGTTCAGATACCCAAAATCAGTCAGTAGAAGTGGAACAAATTCTGAATGCTTCAAGTTCAAGAATAAAGCAATGTCCACATGGTTTTAAACTGAACTAAGTCACCACTACCTAGTTTGCCAAAATCAAATTTATTTTCAGTGGTTTGGGAAGGGGGCAACAATTTGTAGACACATAACAAACAGATTCTGCTGTAGAATCCTACCCGGCTGGGTTTTTTATTAAAAAAAATTTTTTTAATACTGTATACAAAAAGCAAATGACAAGGATTTACCAACTAGACCTGGGCTCTCCCAATGCACTTAAATAGTATCAGTGAACTCTATATTAAATTATTTGAAATTTTGTTGGCATTTCATGATCATAAATTAGCTAACACACATAAATACATTAGGGAAGAGATCAAATTTATATGTGGAAAAATTAGGTAAAATTTACCAGAGGATTCTGTTCTATTCCTATGTTCCCAGTGGATGGCCTAGGTGTTTATCCTACGGGGCTGATTTAGTGACCAAGTTCTAACCCTGGGCTACACAAGAAATGTTAATGTAATCTCCAATATCCAGGACTTCTTCACCAGCAGATACAACTCACTCCAGAATGATTAGCATAGTCCCAATCACCAGTAGCCATTTCTGTTCGGATTCCCAGGCGTTTTGTCATCAGCCTTTTAACCTCTGGTTCTAAGATTATTGTCTAGTTATTCCACCTCACCTATTTTCCTACCTCTCTCCAGCCAGAGCCTTTAATTAACCTTTGGGTCTCATTCTATGTTAAGCAATTTCTTCTACATTCTCTTATCCCCTTTCACTGAATTCACTGAATCTGCTTACTATGTCCTTGCCTCAGCTGGTTCTGTTACAAATGTATGGCTTTCTCCACAGCCCTTTCCAGAAGAGGATGCTCATGCTCCAATATCCCATACAGCCCACGTAGGATAGCATATGGATGACGAAGAGATGCCCAATCCATTACCCTTCAACATTCTTTTGAGGTGTATTCCAACAGGTTAAGATGTCCTCTCACCTGACTCTCCCTGTGGCTGCTGTCCATTAATTTCTCCATCAGTCCCTTCTACATGCCCTGCCTACACTCCTTCCCCAAGAACTGGCCTCACACTGAATGACTTCAATGTCATTGTGAAGATTCAGCCGACACCTTAGTTTGAGAGCTCCCTGCCATCTTGCCTTAACTCCATCATTATGTTTGAGCCACTCATATCCATATAACACTCCATATTTTGTATTTAGTTTTCCAGGATTATTCTGAAATCCTGAATCTTGGATCCCACTCTATGATCACAACCATACCTTCAGGCTCTCTCAGTTCCACCAGCCTGAAAAAATTCCAAAGCTGGCTCAGGCTGAGTGTTGCCTTTCTCCCCTTTATGCAAGACCTTAAAAAGGGAAACATCTGTCTATATTGGCATCATTATGAATTTGTAGCCTCAAAATTCAGCTGGGTCTTCAGCACTGCAATTGATGTATCTTTAATTGACTTTTCTTTTTTTTTGCATTCTCCACAGTATCCATTTCCTCTTTCTTTCCTCCATGACCTTCCCATTTTACAATCTTGTTATAAGGCTGGACATAGACCTTGCTTCCTACTTCAGACAGAAGTCACTTCGTTGGGATTCCTTCAATGTTCGATCCTTGTGTTACAAATTCACCTGCAAATATTATTATTGGTCCATGTTTCCCTGTGTTTTTAACGACAATCCAATCTTTGTGTGCTGGATATGCAGCAAAATTATACCAATTTTTCAGGTGTCAGGCTGGATATCATTTCTTCATGTGCCTCTGTCATTGGTACTCCACAGCATAAAACAGTTACTGCTTACTGTCTATATTTCTTGCTAAACTGTAAGCTCCATATTGCACACAGCAATTAGGCAGCATCAAACCACAGTGAAAGTTTAATACAAATGATATTTTGGGGGCGCCTGGGTGGCGCAGTCGGTTAAGCGTCCGACTTCAGCCAGGTCACGATCTCGCGGTCCGTGAGTTCGAGCCCTGCGTCAGGCTCTGGGCTGATGGCTCAGAGCCTGGAGCCTGTTTCTGATTCTGTGTCTCCCTCTCTCTCTGCCCCTCCCCCGTTCATGCTCTGTCTCTCTCTGTCCCAAATAAATAAATAAACGTTGAAAAAAAAATTTTTAAAAAACAAATGATATTTTGTTACAGGCAACAAACCTCCATGTAGAGGGAAATTCATAAGTGACTCCTTAAATGTTTCTTGATACCCAAACAGATATTACCATTCAATAGGTAAACGCCATCAATTTTTTCTGAAAAGTTTACGTGTGGGGGGGATTGAATTTGTATTAACAAAATCCATTTTTAAATGTTCTGGGAGAATTCTGGATATCTTAGAGAACTCAACATATGGCAAATTGATTTTTTACATGGAAAATTCTTTTATAATAAAAATAATCGAATTACTATTTTTCTGCTTTTTAACTTTACTTTTTCATATACTGGATTTCTTGAAGTGTAGTTCAGGTGTATATAAATACCTCACTTAAAAAGACACATGGATTCTAAAGACTTATACGTCAATCAATTTTTCCATAAATAGGTAATCATTCAACTCTGAGATGTATTTTAGAAATAATTTTTCATAATAAAAAAGTAGTCTCTGGACATCATTAAAATGTATTAAAATATTAACAAAGTTACTCAGTAAATAAGAAGTACTATTCCAGGGGCAGCTGAGTGGCTCAGTCGGTTAAGTGGCCGACTTCAGCTCAGGTCATGATCTTGCACTTCGGTGAGTTCGAACCCTGCATCGGGCTTTGCGCTAACAGCTCAGAGCCTGGAGCCTGCTTTGAATTCTGTGTCTTCCTCTCTCTCTGTCCCTCTCCTGCCTGCGCTCTGTCTCTCTCTCAAAAATAAATAAATATTAAAAAAAGAAAAGAAAAGAAAAGAAGTACTATTCCAAAACTCTAGTGTCATATGTAGTGTGCTAGAAAATGCTTTTTAATCACTAAACCTACCTGCTCCTGGCTTGACATCATTAGTGCAGGTGGGGACGCCTCAGTTTCTACAAAAGTTAGCTGTGTTATCAGAATTTCCCTCCTGCCCTTGCCTAGGTATTGTTGAGCTGACTTGCTTATTTACAGTCTTCTGAATCTGTGCTTGCTTACACTGAGTAGGGAACAGACTAACACAACTTGAGAAAGGGAGTGACAATGAGAGGTGGATATGAAAACAGCAAGTTCCAGAGAGTAAGACGCAGGGCAAAGGGGTTACCTCGGCAATGTGAAACTGTGGGCAAGATTACTCGGTCTGAGGGCAACACAAAATGAGCCAGGCAGCATGGTGACCAAAGAAACACTTACGAATAACACAGTGAATCAGCTTTGGCCAAAGTCAAGTAATTCACAAATGGCTTTTCCTTTTCAGATTTATAAAAAGTGCTATCTGAGGTTCACCTTTACCTTGAAAAGTCATCTGCGTCCAAGTGAGCCACTTACCTCTGCGAGATAGAACTCGTCGTACTGCCTCCTGAAGCTTTCCCCTTTGTGGTAGTTGCTGGCAGCAACTATCACATCCACCGTCACCATGCTCAGAATGAACATGTGGAAAACTGATGACCGCATCATTTGCTGAGGAGGCAAAACAGATAAACTCTTAACAAGGAAAGCAACCGCTCTAGGAAGTCGCCTCAGTTTTATAGATTAGAAAATCGAGGCTCAGTGAAGTTAAATAACTTTCCCACTGTCACACAGTATTGCAGGTGGTGCCGTGATGTGGACCCAAGTCTACTGCCTACACTGAGATGAAATAATTAGGCATTCAAAGCTAATGACTGTTACGATAATGACTGCCATGAATTGAACGCTTACTATGTTCCAGGCCATACTAGAAGCGTGTTATTTACTTTATCTCTTTTAATCTCCAGCATAGCCCTACACAGCAGGATATATTACTCGCTTTTCCCAGTGATTTCAGACAGAAAAAGTCATTTGTCCAAGATCACACAGCAAGTACACAGTAGAAGTGGGCTCCCTATCCAATCAAGTCTATGTAAAGTCCATTCTGGGACCCACTGCCCCCAGTGGGGTAGATGATATATGAAAGGAGAGAGTACAGGCCGAAGGCCTTGGGCAGCAAAAAAGGAGAGAGAAGCTGGCCTGTGGAAAGGACCTGAGTGCAAAACAACAAACCACTAAATCCCATCCCTTGGTGCCAAATGCCAGAGATGAGCACCACCATGTGTTAAGGCCTTGTTGCTTCCTGGCATGTTAGGGACACAGATTCTTACATTCGACCCGACTTGAAAAGTCTTCAATCTTTGCAACAAAAAGAACCTAACCAGAGCAGAGCCTGGAGATGGGAAAGGAGAAACAGGACTCAGGACTGCTTCCTCTGAGTACTGTGAGTCCAGCTGTTGTCTTATGCATCCATATATGTGACCGTACACGGCCTTTGTCACCCTATGCTTGTCTATAAGGACATGGGCTCCCAGCCAAACTGCACACAGTGGAAATTCCACCACTTACAAGTTCTGTTGCCATTGGCAAGTTAGCTAAGCCTCTCTGTGCCTCAGTTTTCTTATTAGTCAAGTGGAGATAACAGTGGCCAGTCCAAAGGTTGTTACCGTTTTAAAGGAGTCAATGTCGGTAAAGTGCTTAGAGCAAGTGCTAGCATATTATAAGTGTTCCATAAAGACTTGCAATAAAAATAAATGCAGTTCTGTGAATCAGGCATTTTTCTGTCCAGGAATGGGAAATTAATTGTCCAAAGTCAAAGAATTAACTATGTTGTGTATTTGACTGAGTCCAGGACCAAGAAAGATAAACAAGAGTGATAAGATCTATTAATTTGAGAGATGTCAGAGCCACGGGAAAAGCAGATATTTCGTAAGGTTTTGTGTCCCCATGACTTTGGAGGCATTCTTACATCCATGTGACTTTGACTTTATCTTATAGGTAATACAAAATCAAATTCCAGAACTGACAACCAACATATGTAAGTGCACATCAATTTGCTTGCAGGAACTCCTGACGTTCATAACACAGATAAGCAAATCACTTGGCAAGTTTCTATTCTCACCAGTATTTTTATTGTTATTTTGTCTTTCTTGAATTGTGAGACTTAAATTCCATAACTATTATTCCTTTTCTATATTCTTTTCAACATGATGTTCTATTAAAAACATTTCAACGGATTTCTACTTTATCCGCATGACAGAAAAGCCACAACTCTTTCTATTTTCCTTAGCTACGGATTTGTGTCTTAAGTAAACTGTTATTACTGAAAGATCCAAACAAAGCTTTTAGCCATGGCTGTCAAAAAACTTTTAAATTGGTTTTGTAACTGTCACAGCTTCACTTTGGTGCTGTCATTATAATTAGGTTGTTTTTTGTCTGAGTGTCTACGTGTCCCTGTTGGTACAGAGTCATTAAAATAATCACTTACAATGGATTTTGATACACTATAATCACCATTGCTTAGCTGACTTTCTCCAAAGTAATGACTTTCAAATATTAAATAAGAATTAAGGTGATCTGTATGTGCGGTAGCTAAATCTGAATATTAGAACCAGCGCCTCTAGCTTTGAAGTGAGGGCTGGTGACACGGTCCACTTCAGCTCAATTCAATCCAACCAGCGTTTGAAACTGGCTGTCACTTTCCTTAATGCAGAGGCCAGGAAACATCACATTTAGACTCAATGCTTATATCTATAGAACACTCCAAATTTATACTCTTCATTTTTTTTTCTTTTTTTAAAAAAATATTTATTTTGGAGAGGGAGAGCACAAGTGGGGAAGAGGCAGAGAGAGAGGGGACAGAGGATCTGAAGCAGGCTCTGCACTGACAGCAGAGAGCCCGACGCAGGGCTTGAACCCACAGACTGCAAGATCATGACCTGAGTCGAAGTCTGACACTTAACTACTGAGCCACCAAGGCACCCCAATTTTTTATTTTCTTATAAAAATTAATATAAAGGGAAATGTTAAAGTTGAGTCAGAGCCACAACATATTATGTAACTTGAGATTTTTCAGAATTATTTAATATGGATGTGGGTATATATACATATATAAACACACATATACATGTGTGTATATGTTTCTATACATGTATGTATATATTTTTATATATAATAAAAGACCCTTTGGATCCTGCATACACATTCAATTTTTTAAGGTTCTCTTCAATTGCAATGTCACCTTGGTTTATATTTTTAAAAAATCATACAGGTTTTCCATATATTCTTAGCTTGGCTTTGATCCAAGAAATACAATTTCTGTATGCAACAATTGGAATTACCGAAATACAAGTAAGAGACTATAGCAAAACCGTCCCCAAAGCAGCAGTATCTGGCAGTAACACTCAGGAGTCTTACTACCCAGACTGTGGTCCCTGAACCAGGGGCTTCCTGGGAGCATATTAGAAATGTAGGTTCTCAGGCCCATCGCAGACCTGCTGAATCAGAATCTGCATTTTTAACAAGGTTGCCAATGATTAATGTGTGTATCGAAGTGTGAGAGGTTCTGTTGTAGAGGATCTCCTTGAGCAGCAGTTTAAACTGGGTGACCTATAATTTTTTTTTTTTTTTTTTTTTTTTTTTTTTTTTTACAAATTTACAATTTCATGACTCTAAAAAGTCTATAATCACTGATTAGAATAGAACACATACTGGCTGGAACATTATGGTAATATGTTAGGATACACCATCACATCCCCCCTCTCCAACCTCAAGATCAAAAACCAACTAAACCAGGTTCATGAAGACAAAAGTATGTGTTGACTTTTCAACCATTTGTGGGGAGTACTATGAAGACACCATCACAGACTCATAAAGTCTAGGAATGCAAGTGGTGTCTAGAGTCTGGAAAAGGCAAGAAAGTGCTTTCTTTCTTGTATCTCCAGAAGTAATGCAGCCTACCTGACACCTTCATTTTAGCCAGCTGAAACGTACTTTGGAGTTCTGACCTATAGAACTGTAAATAATGTGTTGGTTTAAGTCAATAAATTTGTGGTTATTTGTTACAGCAGAATAGGAATCTAATGCAAATATTGTTCATGACTTGGACATACACCAGTTCAAATTGTCTCCTATGGCATCTGATTGTAGAGAATACCAGTGCTACAAAACTCTACTGCACCAAGGAGTTGCACCCAAGGAGATATGCCAGTAGGGGTCTCTGTAAAATTCATTACTACAGATTTAAACTCATCATGGCAATCAAAGTTTATGTTTTGTTTGTAACGCGTTCCAGAAACACGGAATGAGACAATGGGTCTGCAGCAATGATACTGAGTCACGCCTCAAGTGGAAGGACAAGAAAGGTCACTTTATATTATTAGTTCTGAGTCCTACCGTGAAAGGAATGTTCTCAAGAGACTAAAGTCTACCTCGAATATGAATAGGGATCCGCACTCAACCAACAAGATGTATCAACAAGGGCTACCATTTGGGTGCTTGGTTAGTGGCAAGTTTTGGTGTAAGCATATTGCACACCTCGATGCACTGCATGTAAAAATTTCATTTAATCCACAACCCTGTGCAGTAGGTGTTTCATTATCCCTTTTCACATATGGAGAAAGGATAAGGGAAAGATAAGTAGGCTTCCACATTCCTAGAGGTAGAAGGTAGTCTCAGATGTTTTGAGCCCAAAGTAGGTGCTCTCTTGCCTTCTAACAATGCCTCCGACGTGGCTCTACATACTCCAGAAGAAAGAACAGCAGCTCCCCTGCTAAGTGTTTGTGATTAAATAGAGGGAACAAGTTTGCGAACCTTATATTTGAAAGCTGAAGATGATCTGTTCCTTACAGAAGGGTGTAAGATCACCAGTGTGGGAAAAAATGTCGGTTTTGCAGACAGGCTGAGCTGAGTTTGCATCTGGGCTCTGTGCATGAGCAAACCTCTCTGTGACTCAGTTTTCTTACATGAGAAATAGATGTCAGAGCACCTACATCTCCAGGTTATAACATGACTATAAGAGAGACTATTTAGTATAGAGTCTAGCCTGAAACAGGCATCTTGCACTCAGGATTCTTGTTATTTGTAACTGTATTTGAAAACACTGGAAGGATCCAAAGGTAGAGATACAATTAATTGCTTGTGGTGAAAATGAGAAGGTACAACTTGAGAAATCAAGTGGGGGAGAGAACTAATCTTGAGAGGAAACATGGATGTGTATAGACTTTCAAAAAGGTCTTATGCTATCCCAGTTTTTGGCCTGACTACTTCATAGGAGCTATTTCTATTAATTTGTTCAGGAATTTTGCTTATAAAATGGTGCCATAAAGATTCTGAAGACTGTGCAGGCAAACATCCAACAAATCAAAACTGTGGCCTTTGAGGCCGCAATAAGGATAAATTAGGATAATGAATAGTACAGCTCAGAAATCAAATCTTTCTTTAAATTGCTGCTTGAGAGAATAAAATATACTACTTGGTAAACACATTTCAGGCACTGAACATTGCATCAGCCATGTACTAAAAACTGTGTTTTAATTAGATTTCAAAGTAAACATATTTGGAGAACAATGCAATTACCAGATGAAATTCTCAGAAACCATCCTGCATATGCAGCCATGAGCATACGAACAAGAACATAATGTAAAAGACCAAGTGCATAATACATCTCTCCT